ATCCTGAGAGAGGCCTAGAAGGAGAAAACAAGGAGCCAGGCCTTCTCAGCGGTGGCTCTCCTCCTTTGAAATGAATTGCTGCCCAAAATTCACCTGACCCCTTGGCTGGAGACTTCAAAGAAATCTTTAAAAGCTCTTCTATTTTGACAGGTTTCTAAACCATACTGCCCTAATAGATCTGCCAAGACTATAGACTATACATTTAACAACTACAGCCACTGTGTGATTTGAAATTAATTTTAATGATCACCATAATCACCCAATCTCCTGAAAAGGACAAAAAGCTGATCCCACAGCTACAAATACTCAACTACACTACACTACACTACACTAGAACATAGACAGAGTTCTAACTCCTATCGTCTGAAGATGCCAGACACAGAGACTGGTGAAACGTTAGGAAGAAAAACCTTCAGAACACGGCCAAACAGCCCAAAAAAACCTACAACAACCATCGGATCTCAGCCGTGAAAGCCTTCGAAAATACAATTTTAAAGGTTGTTTTTATTGTAATTGTAATTTTATATTGTTTATTATTGTACACTGTCCAGAGTGACCATTGGTCAGATGGGTGGTTCAGAAGCTAAATAAATAAATAAATGTCTACAGAGATTTCTTAACTTGCAGCAATTTGCTTCCAATAGTTATGTCTTTTGCTTGCAGTGGCAACTGTGCAACAGGATTTCAGCCACTGTTTGCAAGAGAGTCTATAGAAAGGAACTTTTCTTTCCGCAAACAGGGTAGATTTTCCCAACATTGGAGCATTTAGTACTCAGGATGTGGGAGACAATGTGTCATTCTAATTCACAAATCTGTAGGTGACAATCAAACTGCCTATGGCTTCACCCACTGGCTGCATATTTTGACAGGCAGTACCTGTAGCAGACTCTTATAACAGCTGGGTTGAAAGTGAATGTTTTGCTTCATGTCTCAAATTCTACAAAAATTGTTAAATCTTCAAGATTTTTTTAAAAAAGGAAGCTGGGAAGTGTCATTTTCTGGTCTAAATGGGCACCAGGTCACATGCAAAGAATTCAGGTAAAGGAAATCCAAATAGGCAATATGACATCCTTATCCAAGAACTTTGTCCCAAGAGCACTGTGTGTGACCTATTCATACCAATGGTGTTAGGTGGGTATTTGTATTCTGTGTCTTCTTCTGTTTCCCTTTGTGCACTGGACCCCAAAACAGTAACTGTGAGGAGCATTGAGGAAACTCAAAACCTGTCTGCAGGGATTGCTGGGGAATGACCCCATGGCACTATTAGCAGATGTAGTGGGCCCAGCTGCTGTGATATCATCTTGCATGATGTGCATATGGTCCATGTCAAGATTAGGCTGGAGGGGGGGAGGGAATGAAATGGGCACCCAGAATTTAAATCTATTTTACAAACAAATCAAACTCCTCTAGCATCCCGAGATTCCTCTCTCTCCCTTGTGGGGCTACTTACCAGGTCAGCTGTATCATATTCCCTGATATTTCAGGATAAAAACCTGGGGATGGGCACATGTCATGCATAGCGATTTCATTGTGACACAGCAGGCAAGCTTGGGAAGAGGGTTGAAACTGCTTTTTGGACAGCTAATGTAGAAGCAGCACAAGAGAAATGCAGGTAACTGGGCCCAGAATCCAAGTAAAATTCAGTGGCCCAGGTCACATGGAAAATCAAAACAAGGGAAAGAAGACATGTTTTTCTGCATGTAGGTAGATGGCAAAATGCCACTGCTGTCTTTCCCGCAAGGGCTCACATCACATATTGCCTTACCAACTGTACATGTGACCCAATAATACTGATAATGTGCTGTCAAGTGAATTCTGACTTACCGTGAATCTCTTAGGGTTTTTATAGGTATAAAATACTCAGAGGTAGTTTAGCAGTTTCTCCTTCTAGTGGCACTCTGGAACCATGCAGCTTGCCCAAGGTTGCAGAGGTGCAACATTTCCAAATCCTGTGTTGCTACTCAAGTTTGTGAGAAGTTCACTTGTGATCTGCGGACAGATTCCCCCCCCCCAAAGCTTTTCATAGCTGCTACCAAGGCTTTTATAGCAAGAAGGCTCATAAGTCCTGATGGCACGGCTTCATTCTCTATCTTCCTCCAAATGGCGCAACAGGACCAAATGCATGCAGGGCTTTCCCTTAGTGACTGGCGGTCTATGAGAGGTTTCAAAACAGGATGTATCTTGTATCGTATATTGTTTATAATTGTGTTATTTTTAAATCTGTTTTAGTAATGCTTTTACTAACATTTTTACTAGAATCTTTACGTATTTAATTATTTTTAAATATTTGAATAATTTACTGTTGTTAGCTTTTAGTATTGTGCTTTTGGTGAAGTAATCTGCCTTGAGTTATTTTTAGGAGAAAAATATTTTAAATAAACAAAACATCCACTGGGTTTTTTTCCCCAGCCCAACCCCTGACAATATTTAATTATTTTTAAATATTTGAATAATTTACTGTTGTTAGCTTTTAGTATTGTGCTCTTGGTGAAGTAATCTGCCTTGAGTTATTTTTAGGAGAAAAACATTTTAAATAAACAAAACATCCAATGGCTTTTTTCCCCAGCCCAACCCCTGACGCTTGGCTTTTTGACGTTCTGTGGTTGTGCACAGGCAACACACACAAAACACCTTCAAACTCAGCCACTGAGCCCTAACAGGGAATGGGAGGGGACGGCAGCCCAGGCTTTAAAGCCACCTCTCTCACACAGAAAAAATTAAGCGTTCTCCTCCTCCAAGATAATGTGGCCAAAATCTCTCTCTCTCTCTCTCCTCAGGGAACCATAGCTGTTTCATCAGACTTCAACTAGTATCCTGAGATCTGGCAACCTTTTCTTAATTGCTCTCATATAGATCCATCGGGACAAGAAGATTGATCTCAGAGACTTTGCTGTCGGGGCTAGATTGGGGCCTTTGTCTCTTAGTAAAATCTCAGAGTTAGCTTTTAGTTCAGCAGTGTTTAGAGACCTTCCTCTTGTCTTGGTCTCCCTTCAACCTGTTCTTTCATATGTAAC